AGAGAGAAGTGAAGTATGAATGTGGCATGGTTGAACCTACAAGTCTGTGAATGAGAGGATGGGGTAATACCTGTTTTTAAATCTGTGCTGTTCTTTGTATCTCCTTAGGACCCAGACTGACTAAAATGAGGCTGGCTTTCTCTTCCTGTCTGTCTCCCTCAATCAGTTTCTCTTGGCTACTCTGCCCCCAAAAGTTCTCAAGGCCTACAGTGTCCTGGACTTTCTCTTGGTTTCCAATGATTTACAGCTGCTCTCAGCTACAGTATTCTCCCCTCCCAGCACAACTGCCCATATGCTAGTATGATATTAATATATTATTACTAGATGATTTACCAAGCATTGCTTGGGTCTTTAACTCAATTATTTTTTGTTTTTCTGCATTTAAATCATTGTTCTGGATGGGGCTAGCGATTAGGGGTTCAGTATGCAGGCTGCCCCAGGGAGAGAGGACAACCCCAGTCCTCTCTCACCACAGCAACTTGGGGCCAGGTGAGAAGTGCCTCTCCATGGCTGCTGCAGCTCCAGATGGCACAGTCAGGAGAGAGATGCATGTCCCCTGGCTGGGGTAGGTTCAGGTTCCTCTGCCCCCTTCGCTCCCCAGTCAGAGTGAGGAATGGAGCAAACACTTTCCCCTTGCTCCCGACGAAGAGGAACAGCCAGCAACGTTCTCATTTGAATTTAGGGGGAAAGAGATCTGCAGTCTCCCCTGCCTGTTCCCAGGAGGGGCATCCCAAGGCAGGGGGAGGGAAGGGAGCCTTCTGCTGGCGCTCCCCGGGCCCAGTCTGGGGGTGGGCAAAAGGGTGGTGCTGGGCAGCCTTGACTGTGCTGGGAGAGGACAGTTTGTGGCTCCTGTGTCAGGGGCCAGAGTTGCGCTGCCCACTTCAGCAGTGCTCCCAGAGGGGCTACAGTGGTGGGGCCAGCAGGACTTCCCCCCCTGGCCTGGCACCAGGACCATAGGGGGTCGGGGTTTTGGGTAGGAGGACCACTTACTTGGGCTGGTGGCAGGCAAGATGGTGAGATCTCGTCCCTAGCTGGCTACTTCCTTGGTGGTGCGGCAGTCCCTAATGGTCACTCTGCAGTATAGCTGTCTCCTGCACTTGCTGCTGTCCCCAGTGGTGACTGTGAGTATAGCGATCCTCTGCTGAGTCTCCTCCCTTTTCATGTTATGGAAAACAATCGAATTCCAGGCACATCTCGTGTTTCTGCACAATCAAACCCTGACTTTGTTTTAAATTATATACAGAGAAAGATAGATTGTGAGCTGTTTCCTGGTTCTGAAACTTTGCCCCCTTTCTATTTGCTTAGCCCTTTCCCATTAATAATTTCTACTTGATTATTTTTAGCTTACTGGCTATTTTCACATTTTATAAATATTAGTCCTTGTATGTTTACATTTCTCATCTTTGTGCGGGGCAAGCCAACTTAAATGTTTTGTGATTGGTGGGGGCACAAGATTGTCATATTGCTCTTGGGCAACGGGTTGGAACTAAGCCTCCACACAGCTGCCTCTTCACAGCAGCAGTCTTGTCTTCAGACATGGCCTTCTGAGGCAGATATTACAATATGCAGGTTGCACTTCTATAAACTGGAACTCTCTGGTCCAGAAGGACCACGAATATTTCCAGATCAGAGAGTCAGGCACTCTGCGGGGGGCCAGGATCCAGCATGATGCAGTGGGGGCAGAAAGCTGGTGTGTGGCTCCTCTGGGCGGTGGAGGGGGAGGGGCAAGTCAGACAGCCCAGTGGAGGAAGGCCAGGGGGGCCAGCAGCAGGGGGACCAGAAATGACTTCCCCATGTCTGGCAAAATCCCTCATCCAGGACTAGTCAGGATCTAAGGGTGCTGGATCAGGGACTAGGGATGTTCAATGTCAGTTAATCACCTAATTGAGTAATCAGTGGAATTTCCTGCTGCTCCTGTACATTTTAAAAGGGAGAGAAGCAGCAGGAACCGATGCCAGCAGGGACTGAAGCAGTCCCTGCTAGCGCAGGTTCCCCTCTGTGCCTCTTCCTTTGAAATGTACAAGAGCTGCAGGTGGCTCTTGTACATTTCAAAGGGAGAGGAGCAGCAGTAGGGACCAGCGCAAGTGAGATGTTTCAATTGCAGGTGGCTCTTGTACATTTCAATGGGAGAGGAGCAGCAGTAGGGACCAGTGCAAGTGAGATGTTTCAAGCCCACTCACGCCATTTTCCTGCTGCCCTATGCCTCTCCTCCCCCCCACGGAGACGGTGCTGGAGGGAGAACCAGCTTTTAAGCTGCCCCCCCCCAGCACTAGCTCCTGCTCGCCCACCTTCTGTTGCCTCTCTCTGGTAGAGGCAGCAACGGGGGGAAGCGACTAGCCGAGTTCCTACTCGACTACCCAATAAGCATTTGTCGACTAGTTGCTTACATCCTTACCAGGGAGATCCAACCAGTATTTCTTCACCAGCAATGGAATTTTCATAATGGAAAGGGGTAGATTGAGTGTCAGTAGCAGAATACGCATGCACACCTGCCTTTAACATAGCTGAGAGAAAAAATTCTGTATGTGCCTGCACTTTCTCTTGTTTGATACTACTAGAAGTGAAATCAATGGGGGCTTTGCTAGGGCCCATTAGTCTGACTACGAGACACAGATGCAGGATCAAGGCCTCAAAGAGCGATTTGGGGTTGCTCTTCGGTTATATAATACCAAAATGATTGGACCTAGAGAAAGCAATTTCCAATTCCTTTGGCTGTTCTTCCTTTCTGTAGTAACACGGCAAATCAATTTAGCCACCATTCACTGTTTTTAAATCTCCCTTCAGCATTTCCTATTGACTAATGCATTGCCTGGGAATAAACATCTTAAATTGGTTTCTGCAATAATATGAAATATAAATGCCACATATAACAAGAAAATTGTTCTAGGAGGAATTGCTCTCCACCGCTGTTTCAAAATTCTG